AAAAAATATATATATATATATATATATATATATATATATATATATATATATATATATATATATATATATATATATATATATATTAGAATAAAAGATATGAGGTTTAATTTTCAACTGAATAATATAAATTATTCATAGAACTATGAACTGAACTACACTTGTACCTCAATATCTGTATTTTGCATAAAGGAGTCTGTAGAAAAGCACAGAGCTCCTTCACCCCAGCATCTTTCAGGTCTTTGTTCTCACTCAGGTCCAGTTCTGTCAGGTGGGAGGGGTTGGACTGCAGAGCTGAGACCAGAGAAGCACAGCTGATCTCTGACAACCTGCACTCCTTCAATCTGAATAAAGAAAAAAAACATGAGCTGTAGACATCAGGATGCAGGTTATAACTGATATCCAAACACTGAAATCTATTTACTACATTATTAAATGCTCTAAAGGGTTTCAGTCCTTCAGTTGAACCAGACCTTTCTTCTTTACCACTCATCTAGCTTCTTCCTCAAAACTCAGCTGCCCAAATCTTCCCTGCTTCTGTGATCTCAGCCTTAATTGTTTACATTTTGACTTACCCCCACTGTGTCACAGGAAGGTTTGACTTAATTTTTACAGACCAGAACTGTGACACTCTGCAATGTCATATAATTTATAGTAGTCTGTGATAAATATGTATTATTATAAGCTTTTGTGTACCCTACAGAAACACAGTAGACCATCTTTTTAAATAATGCAGGCAGATTTGTGATGTCAGTGACATTAATTAATCAGAGGAAGTTTTAAAAAACAAGCTAATTTTAACTGAATAAAACCAGAAAAGAAGAAAACAGACTTTACCATGAATCAGTAGAATATCATCCATTAATCTGCAGTGTAGTGACAGCTAAACTTTGACATCAGAAATATCAGCTCTATTTTGAATATTTTTTTCCTTACGTCAGTTTTTGTATTTTACATAAAGGATTCTGCAGAAAACCACAGAGCTCCTTCACTCCAGCATCTTTTAGGTCGTAGTTCTTGCTCAGCTCCAGTTCTGTCAGGTGGGAGGGGTTGGACTGCAGAGCTGAGGCCAGAGAAGCACAGCTGATCTCTGACAACCTGCACCACTTCAATCTAAGTAAAGAATACATTTTGTGAGCTGAGGCCAACAGGATCAAGGTTAAAACTTAAATATGAGCAATATTAAAACTATAGGAAATTAATTTTACTTAATGTAAAAGTGACAAAAATGTGATGAACTGATGTGTAAAACTGTATATATATATATATATATATATATATATATATATATATATATAACTACCTAATGAAAAACCAGGGTGAATATTATTTGCTGCACTGCACAAAGCCGACTTAAATTCCATTGAAAATCTGAAATAAACCAGGGTTCATGCGAGAAGACCAT